TTTATTTAAGTCCATCTAGTCCCATGCCTATACTCCTGAATGTATGGCCATCCACTGCAGCAGGTTGACCTTCTCAGGGGCTACATCCTTGAAGAAAACTGGCCCTCCCTTTCCCAGCAGCTATCAGTTGCTAGGGGTAGGGATTTGTGCTTAACCCATCCCCCTTTGATTTTGTGCAGGTCTTATGCGTTCTGTCACAATTGTAGTGAGTTCATACATGCTACTGCCCTGTTGTGTTTAGAAAACATGATTTCCTTGTAGTCATCCACAGTCTCTGGGTCTTACAGTTTTTCCTTCCCATCTTCCATGATGATTCCTGAGCCTTCGAGGGTAGGGGTGTGATGTAGATGTCCTATCTAGGGCTGAGAACTCTATAGTCTCTTATTTTCTACATGTTGACCATTGTAGGTCTCCATGTTGATCGCCATCTACAGCAACAAGAAGCTTCTCTGAGTTGGGGTTAATTTGGGTCTTAAAGTCCTGTAGTATTTTTTTTTCATGAAGTTGGGTGCACCAGAGTTTGGTGAATATATGTTCATGATTGTAATATCCCAAAAGCTTCCCGGTTAGAGGTGGGGCTTCGTGCCCTCCTCCCTGCTCCATGCTGGGATTTTGGTATGGCTTGGGCTTGCATAGATCTTGTGCATGCTGTCACAACCACAAAATATATGCTGGGTTCATATATGCACTGCTTTGTTGCATTCAGAAAACACTGTTTCACTGTTGTCATCTACCTCTGCCTCTTAGGACTTTTCCATTCCCTTCTCTGTGATGCCCTCTGAGTCTTTGGAGAAGAGGTGTGATGTAGATGTCCATTTAGGGCTGAACACTCTGAAGTTCCTTGTTCTCTGAATGTTGACCAGTTGTGGGGCATTGCTTAAAAAAAAAAAAAAAAAAAAAAAGAAGCTTCTCTGATGAGGGTCAAGAGATATACTAGCCTATGGGTATAGTGATAAGTCATTAGGAGTTTGTTTAAAACGATGTCCATTTAGTAGACTTATAATAGTAGGCCAAGAACCTGTGGCTAGATAGGGGAGAACCTACTATTATTAAATAATTTTTGTGTTGTATTTGTTTACTCTGTGTGTACATGCATAGGCGCACATGCCATGGTTTGCATATGAAGTGAGAGGACAGCTTATGGGAGTTGGTTCTCTCCTTCCACCATGTGGGTCTAGGGGATTGAATTCAGGTTGTCAGGCTTGGAAGCAAGGGCCTGAACCCTCTCACTGGTCCCCATATTGTCTCAGATTATTTTAGCATAGAAGGCACATGAAGTTATGTACAATTTGTCTCAACCTACATTTTCAGCATCGTTTCCCAATACCATTTTCCATACTCAGTGCAGTAGGGCACTATCAGCCTTCAGGTGATTCCTTGGCTTTCCAGTACCATCTGTATGCTGGCAACAATTTATAGGTCCATCCTGGTCCTCTCCTAGAGCTCTAGCTTTCTGTCTTCATAACTGCATGTTCAATCTCGCTATTGTAATATCAAACAAGTGTCTAAAACCAATCATGTTTAAAGTTGAATTCTTGGTTCTTTCTGTCTTTTTATGTCATTGTAAATGGCAGTTCTTTTATGCTTGTACCCAAATCCTGCAAATCACTATGATCCATTTTTATCTCTCACACCTTGAACACTGATATGAAGTCTTTAAGTACGTGAAATAATCACTTCCCTGTGACTGGCCCTTGATCATTCTCTATTTTCAGTTACTGCCTTTTTAAAGCCACTATAATCTCTTCTCAGATAACTCTAATAGCTTTCTAATTGTTCTTTGTGCTCCAGGCCATGCCCCACAGTCTATTACTAACACAGGAACCAGACCTTTAGCGTGTCTGTTAGTTATTTTTGCATAGCTATGATCCAGATACATGAGAGAACAAGTAAAGGAGGAAAGATTTATTTTGGTTCATGGTTTTGGAGGGCTCAGTCCATGGTTGCCTGGCCCTGTGTGCTTGGGCAGAAGATTGTGGCAGTGGGAGTGTGTATCAGAGAAGGTTCTTTACCTCATGGTGACCAGGAAACGGTGAGAAGAGGGGTCTAGGGGCCAGATGTAACCTTCAAAGTGACATTCTCCAGTTACCCACTTTCTCTAGTTTGGCCAGTTCCACATAGTCAGCCTTAGTCATGGCAACAACTCCACTTCTCTGGTACCCATTTCCCATGTTAGCCTTTTTTATTTTTTTAAGCTAAATAAATAAAATATAATTTAAATTTTATTTTTTAATTTATTTACTTTTTATTTATTTTTGTGTGTGTATGTGTGTGGGTATGCATGTTGCCATGATGCACAATGGAGGTCAGAGGACAACTTGTGGAAGTATATTTTCTCCTTCCACCATGTGGGTTCAGGGTTGAAGCTCAGCAAGTGTCTTTACCCCCTGAGCCATCTCACCAGCTCCTGTGTTAGCTTTTATTGTTACTGTGACCAAATAGACAAAGGAAACCACTTAAAAGGAGGAAGGGTTTACTTGGGCTCATGATTTCAGTCCATCATGGTAGGGATGGCATGGTATAGCAAAGCTGCTCACATCAGGGTTGTCAGAAAGCAGAGAGAGGGAGAGGAAGGGACTGGGGACTAGGTATGCCTTCAAAGGGGTGACACCCAGTGACCCATTTATTTCAGCTAGGTCTTACCTCCCCAAGTTCCTGTCACTTTGTAAAATAGTGCCAAAAGCTGGGACCAGATGGGGGACATTTCACATTCAAACCATAATAGAGTATAAGTCAGATTGGGACAGGTCTTTCCTAAAACACTTTCAGTGACTTGCCATCTCACTCACACAATTGCAGTCTTTGTAGTGGCTCCAAAGTTTACGTAATAGGACTTCTCCAGCAGTCTGTAGCTTTCTCTCCCAATCTCATGTCCCACTGTTGTGCCCATTCCTGGCTCATATTGCCCCAAAGGGATGGTCTCCTGTTAGGACATACTAGCTATGCTTTGCCTTAAGGCATTGATACTTGTTGACTTTTCTACATAGAATGCTCTTCTAGAACCTAGGCATCCTGTTACCTTGTTTTTACTTTATCTTGACTTAAATGTGGCTTTGTATAAGATCCTCTCTGATTACCTTAGTTTAAGTATTTTGTTTATTTTTATGTGTGTGAATGTATTGCCTGCATATGTGTAAATGTGCCCATGTCATGCAGTGCTCACGGAAGTCAGAAGAGGGCACTGATTTTCCCTGGAACTGGAGTTACAGACAGTTGTTAGCTGCCATATGGGTGCTGGGGATTGAGCCAGGGTCTTCTGCAAGAGCAGCTGGTGCTCTTAACTGCTGAGCCCCAGATTACCTTAGTTTAAATTGTGTCTCACCTTAGCATTTCCTACCCACCTTTCTTTCCTTGTTTTTCTTTGAAGTATGCTTTCTGATATATTGTATGCATTTACGTTTTCTTGTTAATGTCCCCCTGCTGAAATATCTACTCAAGGAGGGTAGGACTTTTTCCCTTTTACTACAGCTGAAATTTCAGTGCTAATAGCTACTCAGTAAGTCTGTATGGAATGCATACATTGGGCAAATATTATTAACTTGTTGAGACTTTGATAATGATGCCAAAGACCAGATGACCGATCAGTGGGAGGGACAGAATTAGAGTAAGAATTTTTATAAAATTGTTTTTATAAACTTTAATATCTATTCATTCTCTTTTCCTCAGTTTACAGTTCTGATGTAATTGATAAACAGAATGATCCTATGACGTGTGGTGATGCTGGTGACAAGGCTGTTATTATTTTAGTTCCTGTTAGACTTGGTGGAGAAAGAACCAACACTGACTACCTGGAGTTTGTGAAGGTAAGAAGTGCTTGATTCTTTTAAGGCAGTAGCAGCTAATGGGAATAATGTATAGGGGTACAATTTTGTTTCTGTTAAGTAAGTAGTGATGATTTTAGTTACACATTATTTGACATTAGGGATTTAAAATTTTAATAGTGGAAGATCACATGTGAGTGTAAAGAACTTAGTGTGCTATGACAGAATGAAAAGCCTTCGAATTTTCATAGCTAATCAAGGAGCTACAACTGCAGTAATGGAAATCTGCAACATGACTACAATTCTACTTTCCCTTTGTGAGCAAAAAATACTTACCTTAGTTTATTCTTAAAACTGACATTAAATTATGTCAAATTAATTATTAAAACCTTTGTTACTTTTATTTATGAAATATTTAGTATATTTCATAATTTGTTGCTGTGCCACCATTATGTCAACAAGAAGATGGTCATATAGACAGGAGTAAGAGAGTCTAGGGAAGGGCAGGCCCACCTTTCGCCTTTATTAACCAACTAAAAATCTATTCTATTTCAGCGTGTATATTTCTTCTTTTTGAACCAAAAGAACCACTGTAGCTATATGTATTGTTGTGTTTAGGCACTTTTAACAAAATCACTTATTTTGGTTCACAGTGCAGGGGTCTCCAGCCTTTGGCCTGCAGGCTTCATGGAACCCAGGATAGCTATGAATGCTGCCCAAAACAAAAACATTACTTAAAACATGATGAGATTTTTTTTTTTGCATTTCTTTGCATTTTTTTTGGTAACTCAATTGCATAGTTCTTGGGTGTGAACTTTGTAGATAACAATGTTGTGTTTCAGTGTCATGCAAAATAAGCATATATATGCTCTTGTTATTTGACCATATGTGTGGTTTTCAGTGTGTTATCTTCCAAGAATGGACAGTTGAATTGGTACTGTCAAACATTACATGTGCTCATGGTGACTTGGAGAGTGAAACACAGGGGTTATTAATAATGCCTTAATCTACCATTGGAAACAATAGGTGTTTAATGTTATTTAGAAGACAGATTCTTGTTTTATTATGAATGGCGTTTCCATACCTTGGCTGTGCCTCATGTGTCACCCACTGTGTTTTACAGTTGGCCTTTGTGCTGCATCAGCAGCTCGAATATGGAGAAGGGCCCAGATCTTGCTTTTTTCTTTCCTATCAGTTAATTTTCATAATAAAAGTAAATATAGTTCCTGATCTAGTATTATTACTTTAATACTAGCATGGCTTCCTTAGTGTCTCAAAAGAAAGTAGAACTAGGACTTGGAGTTGGCTCAATCAGTAAAGTACTTGCCACACAAGCATGAGGATCTGAATTTGAGGAACCCTAGGACCCACACAAAAAGCTGAGTGTGGTAGCACGTCCTGAAATCCCAATGCTGGGGATGTAGAGACAGGAATATCCCTAGGACTTGCTGGCCAGCCAGTCTAGCCAATCATGAGCTCCAGGTTCAGTGAGAGACCCTGTCTCAAGAAATAAGGTGGAGAAGCAATTGAAGAAGACACCTAATGTCATCTTTCGGTTTCGACAGACAGACAGACAGACAGACAGACAGACACACACACACACACACACACACACACACACACACACTCACTCACTCACAAAACAGAACCCAAAAGAAGAAAAATTATGGATGAAGGAAAATTGTTCAATGAAAAGTAGGTAGATGACTACTTTTCTGATGAGGCAAATAATAAGGCACTCTAAATTGTAGGGAATTTGTACCAGAACTTGACAGTGAAAACTGGCTTGTAGATTTAGCATTTTTAGTGAATTTAGCCACACATTTCAAACATGTGTCTTTAAAGTGAAAACTAATTTATCAATAGAATTTCAAATCATATCATTATAAATGAAACTAAAATTGTGGCAAGCTCAAATCAAGGCAAACAATTTTATGTAATATAATATATAATATATGTATTACTATATATTTCAACACATTAAACCCAATCCTGTGAACAGCAAAAAAGATGCAATATATTTTATAAAAAATATTTAAAAATCAGTGGGATGTTGTTTTCATTTTCTTTATTAGTGACTGCAAACTTAGTACCTGCTCATGATTTTTAAAGACTCCCCACAGGGAGTCCTGCATAATTAGGATTGTTATGTGAGCTTTTTTGCTTATCTGTACTGGCAGATATTATGAAAGTGTTACACAGACCTTTTTTTGCTCATTGGATTTCATTAGTGTTTATAATAAGCGACTTCCCCAAATAGCACTGCTAGCTGGGGGCCAAGTAAACACATGAGCTCATGGGGGACATTTTACTTTCAAATCATTAACAGGCTTTTTCTTGAGTGAAGAAGCCTTCCCTGATAGGACAAGCTTGCAGTGTGCTTGGTCTGGTGGAGAGCTCTACTGTTTGCTGGTGTTGATGGCAGCTCTGCCTGATGCTCTTGAGTGATCTCTGAGCCTGAACTATAGTGCAACAAGCGATGGTTGATCTGTGATTCTCATACCTAGCATGTTGAGTTACACAGCATTTGTTAGCTCGTTTGCATAATACTTCCCAATATAATTTATCTCATTTTGCCCTTATAATAACTAGGTACTTTGTCTTTATAAAATAGAAAAGAGCCAGAAAAATTAAGTGATATGTTCAAGTTCAAAATAAGAGACGGGTGAAAAGAATCATTACTTTGTTGCTTTTAAACCTCCCCCCTCCCCAAATAAAGCATGTTTTAAAATGTAACATTTTCTTGACTGCCTGCCTGTTTGATTTATAGTGTAGCCCACTAAAATGAAAGAGCATTGAGTGTTGAAACATTTTCAAGTTTCAGTTATTAGGTAAAACTGCCAATAAAAATGGTTGAGTGAAGATTATGTAGGTATTATGTTGGTCAGAGGAGGTGGTTGGTCAGAAACCAAAATGAGAGTTTGTAAAGAGACACCTACTTAGAAGTGAAAAGGTAGTGTCGGATCTTCCTAAAAGAAGGGCCATTGTTGGAAGCGCCCCCTCCTCCCCCTTCCCCTTCTTTTCATTCCTTTCTTTGTACGTGTGGTCAGCACTTATATTTTTCTCCTGTGAAACCAATGTGCATTATAGTCTGAAATTCACCATGTAGTGATGTGGTTCAAATTGATTATTCCAGGTAATTCCACAGTATTTCAGAGATGGTACCATCCCAGAATTTTACTCTAGTCTATGAGAAGGAGGTAACTTGGTGTGTGCTCTATCACCCCTTTCCACAAGCGGCTTATTTCTTTATTTTTATTTTTGTAAGAACTTGGAATGAGGAGAACCTAATCTTTTTCTTCTGTAAGAAAAATTAGGACTTTCCTTTCTGACTGATTGCTTCCGTCTTATTTATTGCTTCATGGATGCAGCTCAATAAATTCTCACCCCTAGATAAAACTGTGAAGAAGCACTTTTGGGAACTGAAAGTGTTTCAAGTTTCTAAAGATACAGCTTCTTATATGTGATGGCATTCCAGCTAATCTGCCAATTGTTTATTGCTGGATCTGCTGTAGTCTGTAGTAGAGGAAATATAGATTTCAAGAGCTGACGTCTCTTTCCTATTACCAGCCCGTTCTTTCTGAGGAGTCAGTGGTGATTGTTGCCATATATAATGGATCTCTTTCTTTCTCAGCTATGAGAGCTTTAGAACTTGCACTTCCTCGTGGGTCCCTAGGATATAAACATTCATTTCAGCTGATCAGGTTGACTCGTTAAAGTAAGGTGCTTTTTATTGAACTGAAAAGGATCCTTACTGTCAAGTAACTTTAATTACTGTCAAGTGTTTGTCTTATGGGGGGTACAATTTTATTTTTATTTATTAGTTGGTTCAGGTTGGCTAAGATTGTAACTTGTCTATTTTGTTTTATTATTTTTCAATTGTTGCTTGCTTTAAAAAAAAAACCCTTGATATCTTTTTACAGGATTGGAAATATTTGAGGTTGTTCTTTAGAGTGTGATTTAGTTTGTTTTGTGCTTCTGGAACAGAGTGCCTGAGATTCAGTAATTTATAAAGAACAGAGTTTTTTTTTTCTTTCCAAGTTTAAGATCAAGAGGCTGACCTCTGATAAGGGGTCTTCTTGCTCTGCCCATACATAGCAGAAGAGCAGGGCAGTGAGAACCCACTTCCTCAGGCCTCTTTTAGAGCAGCTTTAGTCCATTCAGCAGGGTGGGACCGTCAAGACCTAAATATCCCCTGATGGTCCACCATTGTTTTGCTGTGGATTAAGTTTCAAGCATAAGGATTTTAGAGGGGACAAAACCATTCAAACTGTATCAGATGATTATCTATAATAGGAGGAACTTAGAGCAAATGAAATTTTAATAATGAGGGTTTAAAAGTGTATTTTCTTATCTTTATAAAATAGAATATAGCCATTAGATATTATATACATGGCTATATTTATTGATAGGAAAAGATGTTCATGAATGATACAATGAGAGACAAAAAGAGGAAGTAGCATTGGCAGTGTGATGCCATGATGCCATGTATAAAATGGTTAGTAAAGCTGTAGATGGAATATTGGCAGATATCATGAAGATATTCCCCCTAGGTTAATAATGAACTCTTAGCTGGGCGTGGTGTGCACAATCCCAGCACTCGGGAAGTAGAGGCAGGAGGATTAGGAGTTGAAGGCCACTCTCAGCTACATAGTGAGTTTGAGACTGCCCTGGAATATGTGAGACACTATCTCAAAAAAGAAAAAAAAAAAAAGATCTTTGGGTATTTCTGTTTCTTTATTTGTTTTATAGTGACCAAATACTGTTTTTTTTTTTTTTTTGTCTTTTTGAGACAGTGTCTCACTGTAGCCCCAGCTGTCCTGGAACTCACTATGTAGACCAGGCTGGCCTTGAACTCACAGATATCCACCTGCCCCTGCCTCCCAAGTGCTGGGAATAAAGGCGTGTGCCACCACGCCTGGCCCCTAAATACTGTGTTTTGAAAAACAAGTTAAAAAAAAAACAAAAACAAACAAAACCCTCTCTGATTTCGTTACCTTGCTAAAGGAAAAAGAAGATTTTCCATTTTAAAATATTTCTCAGCCATTTGCATTTCATATTTTGAGAACTCTGTTTAGCTCCTTGCCCCAATTTTTAATTGGGTTGCTTTTTTTTTTTGATGTTCAATTTTCTGAGTTCTTTGTATTCTAAATGCTAAATGTCAGCCCTAGCTGAGGAACTGTTGACAGCTAACAGCTGCTGGGAAAAGGAGAGTTTCTTTAAAGGTTGATGCTGGATAAGTTAACCGGGTTCCAGGCCTCCACCCAAGAACATTTGGTGAACACAAATTAGACTTCATAGGCCTTTAAAAAAATGTATATCTGTGTGTGTGTGTGTGTGTGTGTGTGTGTGTGTGTAATACAGTACAGCAAATCAGGTGGGAGATGCAGATAGAGGAGAGGGGGTCTGAATAGGATCAAAATGCATTGTATGAAATTCTCAAAAATTCAGTAGAAATATTTAGAAAAAGAACATTTTTCCATATACAAATGTATTAGTCATCTCATTGCTGCGACAAGAATACCTGACAAAAGCCAATTAAAGGAGAAAGGGTTTATTTGGGCTTGTGGCTTGAAGGTACAGCTTGGTGGCAGGAGCATGCGGTGGTTGATTAGGAAGCAGTAAAGAAGCAGTCAGGAAGCAGAGATGAATTCTGTTGTGCTTGCTTGCTTCTTTTTATTTAGTCAGGACCCCAGCCCTTAAAGTGGTGCTGTCCATATTTAGGGTGGGTCTTCCCACTGCAGTTAAATCTCCCTGGGAGATACTCTCACAGACATGCCCAGAGATGTGTCTTCTAGGTGGTGATTTAAATCCTTCCAGGTAGACAATCAAGATTAACCATCACAACATATGTTTTTCTACAGCGTAGTAATGCTCTAGTAAGCCTATTGCAAGTTATTGTAGGGTCAAAATACATTTACTATATCTAACCTACCAAACACTAACCTAGTAACACAGTTACACACTACTGTGTGATTTTTCCTCAGGAAATGCACAGAAATGCCTAGTAATCCCAAAAAGGACAGCAGTTGACCAAGGCAATTATACTGTTCAAGTCCAATTTGGTGAACCAGTGAGTTTACTGGGGTCATTTACAGTACCATGGTGACTTGGGCAGCAATCCCACCCCAGCATGAGTGATGATTTACAAAAGCTGCATCGCTCCTCCACTCTGCCTTCTATGTATCCTAACACCTTGCAAGACCAGGTGCAGCTGGGAGCCAGGATGGGGAGGGGGCAGGAAGGAGTGAGAGGCTGGAACTCAAGAGTTTGAAGACCTTCCCCTTTCTACTGGAGAATGTTAATAGGCCAGAACTTGTGAGGGTCACATTGAGTAATCACAACTGCCCGGACTTAAAGAAGGCAAGGCTTTGTCATACACAAAGGACAGAATGCCACAACTATTCAATATCTATTGTTTACCCTCATAATTGCCTGACTGACAGGAAGTTGTAGCTCACTGCCACAGCCTAGCCTCAAAAGACAGTGTCATGTTTGTATATTGAAGGCCTAGGAAAAGATAAATCCAAAATTCAAAGTAAGGGTGTTTTGTTTTTTTTTTTTCAGACAAAGTCTTGCTTTGTAGCCCAGGCTGGTTTTGAATAGGCAGTCCTTCTACATCAGTCTCTTAAGTGCTAGGATTGTAGGCGTGTGCCATCACACTCAGCTCAAATTCTTGTTTCTGATGAACACATAACAGCTTTTTCTTTGTAGTAAAAAAAATTGTGAGCTGGAGCTTGTAAGTTGGGAACCATCTGAATTTCTTTTCATATTGCCTAGATTTTAGAGAATTCTCTCACTTAAGACCATGTGCTTAAGACCTCTGACAGGACTTTTGTGATGCTATTTTTTTTCTTTGTGGTACTTAGTTGTTTTTTCATGTTGTTGCACAACATGCTGATCAGAATATTTGATCCGAATTAATATTCGGTGATTCAAAGAAAAGGGAGGCAGTTTGGAAAACAAGGATTTCGGAACATGGGCAAATGTAATAAAAGTAAAACTAGGTGGTGAAAAGTTAGCACTTCTAAAATGGCAGTGTAAAGTTGGTTGTTTTAGATAATTGTCATTTTTCTCCTGACTTAAATCTATTAATTTCCTTTGACAGGGTGTTTTAAGCCTTGAATATTGTGTGGGAATTATTGGTGGCAAACCTAAGCAGTCATATTACTTTGCTGGATTTCAAGGTTAGTGATTAAGTACGTTTCTCTGTTGTTTTCTTCCAAAAGTCAGAAAGTTAATATGATACTATTTGGAAGGAAGATAGCTCACAAAGCAGAATGAGTGCTTTATACAGTCGTTGGTCCTCCTGCAGCCACTCCTTGTCATTTGGGTCATAGCATAATTGGATTCTGTAAAATGTATGTTTAATTTCTGTGATTGCATAAACAAAGCATAATTTATTGGTTTCACTAAACTTGAGAAGATGTTCTGCCACATTCTGGCAGTTGCTGTTTACATATTTACTTTTTACCAGTTTTAGTGGTGCAAGTTGATGATAAAGTGACACGCAATATGTTCTTCCTGTCAGAAAAAGGAAGGGCAATGCATTTTTCATATGCAAACTGTAGAGTATAATTGTATGTTTGTGAAAGTAATTTTATCACCAAAAATTAAATGACAGTCTCATCACTGTATAAAAATTCTGCTTATACAAGCATATTTGATTATGCAGGAGTTAATCTATCCTGTGCAAACCTATGCTTCAGTCAATGAATATCAGTCTGGCAAGCTGTTACTCCTAGGTTTTTTTTCAGCTGTTCTACATAGAAATTGGATTGTAAGCAGAGTAATAATAAGGTGTTTTTTGAATTACTTGTCTTCTGTTTTGTCCTTGTAGATGACAGTTTGATTTACATGGATCCTCATTACTGCCAGTCTTTTGTAGATGTCAGCATAAAGGATTTCCCTCTTGAGGTACTCTGCTTAGAGAGCTGGGGTTGTTTTCTTACCATAGGAGACAAACTATGATTTAGAGCTGTCCTAAGTTGCTATGCTTTTCTAGTATTATGACCAAAAGTTAATCAATATTTTACTAATTTATAAAACTATAGTCAACACTGGTCAAAGGCTAAGTACTCTGTTGATGAATTTTAATTTATGATTTACTTTCTTCTTCATTAATCTCTGTCTCCAACTTGTTAGATACCCTGATCCTACTAAAATAAATGATCAAGTCTCCGAATAATTTTGTAGCAAGACAGCAGAACAGTATTGAAGAATTTATAGTGTTAGATATATTTTTTTAAATGAAAGGATTGTAACAATCCTTTTAAAAAGGTGATAAACTTGGGGTAAAGTGACAAGATAAGATTTAAGTATAGTAATGAAATCTTAGTTAAGTTTCCAAGAGCTTATTTGGATTTCTAGTGATTGTTTTAGCTTACTTTCTTTTTTAAAAAATATTTTATTATTTTTATTTTATATGTATGCATGTATTGCCTACATGTAGGTAAGTGCACCTGTGTCATGCAATGCCCGCGGAGGATAGAAGAGGCTGTCAGATCCCCTGGGCCTGGAGTTACGGACAGTTGTTAGCTGCCATGTGGGTGCCGGGATTTGAACCCAGGTCTTCTCCAAGAACACCCAATGTTCTTAATCACTGAGCCATCTCTCCAGCCCCTGTTTTAGCTTATTTTAAAGTTTTCATTTCCCATATAAGATAATTTTGGCATCCAATATTTTAATTTAGAAAAGTTTGAGTTCCTAAGTGAGACAGGTCTGAAAGTCCGTGGTGTCAGTTATTTTTTTTCCTAGTTGAAGTTATTACATATTAAAGTAATTTTAATCATGAATAGCTGAGGGCACTAATATTAAAGGACATGACAAGTTGGAACTGTGGTTAAACATTGTTTTACTAATACCTTTTGAACTAGTATTAATACTTAATAGTATTTAAGGAGTAGATTACGAAAACAAACTGTAAGATTAAAGTCTAAAGATTAGAAAGATGTGTTATAAAGCATTCTAGCATCCTTTGTAAATTATGACCTCGGCTATGTCCCTTCTCTCGTACAATGTTGCATGTAAACCTTCATGACTGTTAAGAGATGTGCTAGCTAGCTAGCTATGCTTTTAGAGTACAGCTAAGCTGGCCAAGGCCTCACTCTTCCTAGTTAAGAGCTCTACCACTGATCTAAATCTCCAGCCCTAAAGTAGCACTTTCTGTTTTTTGTCATATCCTAAATTTCTAGTGCTTCAAGTGAAAATTTTTTTACTATATTCCTAACCATCTTTGCTCTGATATCTTTGCTGTGTATGTGTTGCTGAAATTTTGTGACTAATACAGTAAATTACATACATATTCTAAAACTACTTTCATATTTGAATTCTTAAAATCATTTTTGTAGACATTCTATCAGCACTTCTCTTTGATAAATAGATAATAGAAATTAAAATTTCAAATCTTCTATCCAGCTCCATGTAAATAATTACTTATAGCTCTGATATTTTAAATGAGTGACCTAGATCTAACAGCATTTTGAGATTTTAAGCAGAGTATTGAAAGAGATTTAAAGCTGTCCTTGCTGCTGTTCTCACAGCATTCATTTCCTGCATTTCCAGAACTGAACTTGTAATGACCGGAAATCAAATCAGGCCAACTTGTTCTTTCCTAGCTCTCACTGTTGAGTTTTTCCAGGGGCAGAGTACTGTCCTGAGCTCTTCAGAGTCTTCTCTTGAATCCCCCTTGCATATCCAAATGATTTTGTTATGTATTTATATTACTTAAATTTTTTTTTTAATTTTATGTGTATGCGTGTATTGTCTGCATGTAGGTAAGTGCACCCATGTCGTGCAATGCCCACGGAGGTCAGAAGAGGCTGTCAGATACCCTGGGACTGGAGTTAAGGACAGTTGTTAGCTGCCATGTGGGTGCTGGGATTTGAACCTGGGTCTTCTGCAAGAACAACCAGTGTTCTTAACCGCTGAGCCATCTCTCCAGCCCTGTATTTATATTATTTTTTAAGTTTTGTGACATTATCTCATGTTGGTGAATGTTATTAAGTTAGCATATACTGTTGAGTTTCTATCTGTGAAGAGAATCTTCTGATCTTTCATTGTCTTCACTGAGGAGCATGTGGTTCAGTTTGAGGGCAACTTTCAATGTGCAAACTGAGCTGTATAATTTTCATAGAGTAATGGAGTTCAGCAGAGCAGCATTGACAACCTTAAAGAGAAAAGTCGTGAAAGGGCAGTGTGAGGTAAGAAGAGTGAGATGAGCTCAGCTGGGCTTTAGAATGAGTATGCAGAGTTGCAGTTTCCATGGTCAGGGGTTAGGATGAGGCAGGGTTTTAATTATTGGGATGGAAAGACTGTGATACATTTGTGTGTATATGATGTTCAGGCATGTATTCATGTGTACATGTGCACATATATATCTTATGCATACATTTTTTATTCATGTATGTATATAGGTATACAGGTAAAGATGTATACAAAATATTGCATATGTAATTAATGAATTAAGGTTTCCTAAATGAGACACTGTGAGTTTATATGCTTCCAGAATTATAGCCTGTTTTTCTTACAAATACTAAGTTCTAAAAGGTAAGAAAAGCCCTATTAATAGACATATGACTGTTCCAATTCCTGGGTCCTCAATTCCAAGTTTCAGACCTTAGGAGGATCACATTGGTGACTGTTTCAATCAACTCTAATAAATTAAGAGATAGTGGCACTGAAGTTATTACATGGATGAGTAAGTAAATTTGTCAGTGAAAGATACTCTATGAATCACACATGTGAGCTGTAGTTAGTAGAGTGTATCTTTTTTGTTGTTTTTATTTTTGTTTTTGAGACAGGGTCTCACTGTATGGCCCTGGCTGGCCTGGAACTCTGTGTAGATCCCACAGAGATCTGTCTGCCTCTGCCCCTGCCTCTTGAGTGCTGAGATTAAAGGTGTGCACCACCTTTCAGCTAAGTGAAACCTTTTTTAAAAATTATTATTTTTATTTTATGTGTATGCATGTATTGCCTGCATGTAGGTAAGTGCACCTATGTCGTACAATGCCTGCAGAGGTCAGAAGAGGCTGTCGGGTCCCCTGGGACTGGCGGTACGGACAGTTGTTAGCTGCCATGTGGGTGTTGGGATTCGAACCTGGGTCTTCTGTAGGAACAACCAGTGTTCTTAACTGCTGAGCCATCTCTCTAGCCCCTAAGAAAAACCTTTTAATGAGAGTATTCTCTGACTACTCAGAAAGCTCTGTCTAAATCTCCACAATAGCATGGGCATATCTAAAAATATTTGTTTTAGTATTGTTCATGTGTTTAAGTAATAAAATCTAATAATTGTAATTCTGAAAGCATATATAAACAATATCAATCCATTGCATCTGGTTTAGGAAATGAATTTATTGATTATACCTATAATCATGCCTGATATTTAGTAGGTACTTAATAACTATTTGTTCAGGCAATTAGTAAGTGATGTATTAAAAAATGAAATAAATAGGAATTGACTCTTTTTTTCCAGAAATATATTTTATTGTCACCAAAGCAAGTATATGTAGCGAATACTCCCTAAAATGTGTGTGTGTGTGTGTGTGTGTGTGTGTGTGTGTGTGAATTAGAATGCAGAGACTGCTGTTTTCACCAGATATCAGAATTTTAAAAGTAAATCATACATGTACAGTTCATATTACCACATGGGAAAATATTTGAAAGTTTAACCTATTTTTCAAGACATAGAAATGAGTCTGAGTTGTAAATGAATGTTGGTTTGACGTCAGAATCTTGGGTGAACAAAGCAGTGTAATTTTAAGTTTAGGAGATTAAAATGCTTCTGTAACACATAGTGACACTGACTAGCAACTTCACTGTTCAGTGTTTTATATCTATATTTTTGTGAATAATTTAGGAAGTTCTTAGGAGATATCAAAATAACCATGAATTATAATTTAGTGTTTGTATGATAATTGAGGCAATATGTGAAACAGACATATTCCTGTTCAAGCCACTGTTATTAGTTCCTACATGAAAATTACAATCAGTGCTTTAGGATAGTAAATGACACATTCATAAATGAGTTAAAACATTACTGGGCCTGGTATAAACTTTTTGGCATCATATCACAAAGTAGTAGATACTGCAAAATAATTTGTTACTGATTTTGAAAGAGTTGGGCAATGGTTATTTTTAGATACAATATATATAGAAGAATTTCTTGTAAATATGACCTAAAATAGTGCCTCATAGCCTAATACGCTCCCCTGCATTGTATTTAACAAGTTTACTTTGCTTGTCTGTATCTTTCCAGATCTGTTTTAATCTGTTTAAAATAAAATAGATGCAACAGTATTAGTAAATGTCCAATAAAGGCAATGTTTCTGTTAATTAGTACCCTTAGATCTAGTTTAGCTAGGTTGGGTTCCACTATTTAAAGTAAATATTAGCTGAACATTTTGTAGAAGTCAAGATTTGGTCTCTGTTTATTGACATATTGTTGGATTTGAATGTAATATATAGTTTGACAGCTTGTAAGGGGGAAAACAACTTGAATATATGCCTTTTGCATTTGTTTTGATGACAGTGTGGTACACTGATTGAGTCACTATGATGTAGGGGAGAGAAAAGAGTGATTTTTATTGATTTATCATGAACATAACAAATATGGCAGCTTGCTTGTACTTTTCTATATTTTAATGGATAGTTTTAAGTTAAAATCCCTTAGTATTAAGGCATTGAGTACAGAAGACTATTAAGTTCAAATAGCCTACTTATTTTTTGATTTTTCTTGTTTAATGGTAAATATATGAGGAAAAAAATCTCCCACATCTTTCATCTACTTACTCTCTCCCTTCTGAAACTTGGTAATTTTGTATGTCTTTACATTTTATGTAAATGTAAGCAAATATGACTGTGCAGACTGTTGTACTTTAATGTAGATTTTTAAAATATGTATTTATAGAAAAACATTATCAAGTAATTTTTTGTTGTCTTTTTTTTGAGATAGGGCCTCCCTGTTGTTCCAACTGGCCTGGAACTCACTATGTAGACCAGGTTGGTCTTGAGCTCAAGGTGATCTGGTTGCCTCTGCCTTCTGAGTGTTGGATTTAAAGGCATGTGTCACCATGTTTGGCTACCAAGTGGTTTTTAAGCATGAGTGAACTTTAAGGATCAGATATGCAAACATTAAAGGAATCTAAACATAGTACTAGGCTGTGATGGTGAAACACAAAGAGTTTGGAATGATCAGCTTTATACTGAACCCTTTTCCTGCCTTTGTATTTCCTAAAGATACCAAACCAAATTCATAGCCAAGTCCATTAGCAAGAGTAGAGGAACTGGGGCAGTCTGCCTCGTCCATTTATATCTGTGACACTGTGACCACTTGAGAGAAATGAACTCAAAGAGGCAGGAGGAATAGTAAGCCACAGAGTAGGGCCCATAACAGGCGAGTTTCACCTGTATCATTCTGAGTTCTGTGTGGAAATAAAAATAACATTAACTTAAAACAGAATAGAAAAGCAAATTGGAAGAATATACCATTATGCACCAATCTGCTGGTTGCTAGAACTCAGAAGCAGGCTTTTCATATCAGTAGAGGACATTTACATGGGTCTGTATATTAGCTTAAAAGGCTAACCTTTAAATTTTTTTTGATTGATTTATTTTATGTGTATGAATGTTTTGCCTGCATGTATATATGTGTAAGTGCACCATGTGTATGCAGTGCCTACAGAGGCCAGAAGAGTGCTTCAGATCCTCTGGAACTGGAGGTAGGGACTGTTGTTACCCACCACATGGCTGCTGGGAACCAAACCTTGGTTCTTGGTAAGAGCAGCTAGTGCTCTTAACTGATGAGCCATCTCTCCAGCCCCATTAAAGTTAATTGTATTAAAAGGTTTGTAAGCATTAAAATAAAGAACCTTTATTAATCCATGTGCACATAAAGGAAATTTATTTATATAAAAAAAAGGATGTGTAATAAGACAAAGTGCAGTTTCCTAGAAATGGTTACTTGGATTCTAAAGTAGCCAATGTATGTCTACTGTGCACTGTATTTCATCCCTTCTTTGTGTTGTATATGGTTTTCTTTTGCAAAACAGCATGTTACTTAAGGTGAAAGCTTGGGTAAATGTAAACAATATGAACAGTGCTGGCTCTGTGTCTTACATCTTTGGGGAATTTCTAGGAGAAAGGGAAAGACTAAAATGATGCTTAAAACTGTGTTGATAGTTTTGAGAAAAAGTTCTTTATGTCAGTCCATCAGGAAAAAGTAAATTAATCCCAAACCATTTTAAAAATTACAGACATTCCACTGCCCTTCTCCTAAAAAGATGTCTTTTCGAAAAATGGATCCTAGCTGTACGATAGGATTTTACTGTCGAAATGTTCAGGACTTTGAACGAGCTTCTGAAGAAATCACTAAGGTACCTTTATTAAAAATACTATATAGTAATATTTGTAATATACTTAATTGTTATTATTTCATAAGATATAAATGAATAAAATAGTATACTTTAAAAAATTCCTTCTTGGATGTTAATTATTAGGAATATTGTGAATCAGAAAATGAAACTTTGAGGAGCCAGCATTTGAGACAAATGAAGCCAGTGATTAGTTGAAAGTGTTGTCCACTAGGTGGCACTATTGAAATAAAAATCCTGCAAAGTGTGCGCCCTGGCAAGCAATTAGGTTACATCCTATTTGAAGAGGATTTTAAAGGGCAATCCCTTAGGGGTAGAGAAAAATTAATGAAGTATTTGATCAAGTCAAATTGTGCATTATTTCTTGTTAGTCCAAGTGCTTCTTTTATTTTCTTAAAGAGAAATGGTATTTTTGGAATTCTTAGAACTGCTTTATCAAATGGACTGTGTTGTTACCTTCCAGCAAACTTGTCTAATTTGATTCTACTAATTAATTCCTATTCTACTTACTGAAGTAAGTTTATTTAATTTCTTTTTACCTTTAAACTAATGCATGTTTTTGGTCCTTGAGTTCTGCTAAAGCACATATAGACTGTTAATGCTGGTTGGTGTTTAGTACTTTAGGAAATAAAAGAGAATAACTACTTAAGAAGTAAGTATGGTCGGAGTGGTCTCATTGTTGGTGCCAGTAGTTCTAGAGGGTATCCCTCCATGGTAAGTAAAACCAATGCTACAATCTTTCTGAGGAAATCTTAGAAATTTTAACTTGTGCTCTGATATAATAATAATTTTATTTCTGTTTTTCTTCCAGTTAATCTTATTCAGGAAAATGGCCATAATAATTTTGATATTTTATTTTAACAATGTAAAAATAATATGAAGAAATTAAGTTAAAAAGTCTCAAATAAGAGGTTTAATTTACTTGACCTAACATGAAAGAAAGGACGTTTAACAGAAAATGAATGAGGAGAGGAGAGGGGCAGGTGGGACCCTCTCCTGCTCATCATTGCTCCGTCCTCACCTGCTTCTTCCCTTTCAGCACACAGCCAAAAGAACAGAACAAAATGTGCAGTTTCCATTGTTTCCTTCCTTGAAGTCACTGTAAACGGTGATTTCAGTTTGATAATTCTTTGCCCCTGTAAATTATTATGTATATACTACCATATATAAATCCAGGTGATGCTTTGAGATTGGTGAATATTTTCCACATAAGTCTAATTTTTCTGCTTTCATTAGTTTATTTTTCTCTTTGGGTCAAAATAAGTGTGTTTAAAATAATAGAGCAGTCTAGTTTTGGAATAGAAGTGAGCCAAGTTATAGTTGCAGAATTTTAAAAAAGAACAAAATTCACAGAGGAGTTGCATATTGACATTTTCTGATTTAAAATAGTTATTATGACTGGGCCTGATGGCACCTTTAATCCCAGCACTTGAGGCAGAGGCAGGCAGATCTCTGTGGGATTGAGGCCAGCTTGGGATACTCTACATAGTGAGTTCCAGGCCAGCCGTAACTATGCTACACAGAGAGACTGCCTCAGAAACAAAAAAACAAAACAAAAGTTACTATGATTTTGCTAGAAAAAAATTAGAAATTACTGCTGATTCATCAGAGCAGTGTGCACTATTAAGGCAAAGAGAAGCTATGCTGCAATGTCTTCTCAAAGGACCGAGAATTTTGTAAGGATCAGTTAATTTGGCTGTTCTTACAGTAGTAGCTTTTTATAGTAGTATCAAAACCTCACTTTGCCAATAACTTTTGCTTGCATAGTTCTAAGTTAAGCATTTCTCTTATTTTTCCTCCCAAAACCAGAATTTGGTGTTTGGAGTTAAACAAATTGTTTTCTTCTCTTGAAAGATTAAAATAACTTAAAAATTTTTGTTTCTATGTAGGATTTATTTTCTGCTTCCTCATTTGAAAAATGAAGCTAACAGTCTAGAGTGTCATGTTTAATTTGTAATGCTCTGTGGGTGAATAATCTCTTAATGCTGCATACTTCTAAAAATGTTAATAAAAATTATTAAACAAATTCATTATTTAGTGGAGTTTAGGCTAGTAGGTATTTAAGTAACCACTGTATGCAAGGCATAAAATTACCGAGATGTAATTTCTGCTTTGAATAAGACATAAAGCTTCTACCTTCAAGTAACATTTATGCTTAAGGGGAAGGAAGACGACAAGTAGACATATATTAAACTGAATATGATAAGCGTCCACACGTAACTAGAGATAAATGGATGAGGAAGGAAGAGAGTTGAAACCAGAGAGATGTCACATCCAAGTCAAAGTATTTTATTGTGATGGTGATATTTAAGATGAGCCTTAAAGTGTAGGCTTAAAACTGGCTTAGTGAGAGAGAAGGTTACTTAAAGCAGAGGAAATAATCAGAGAAAAGTTCAAGAGAAGGAAGTGTGGAGCTTACCTAGAGAATGGCAAGTGTCCACTTTGATGGATGCCCTCTGTGCTTTTAGGCAGGATTTCTGTCTTCCTGCTGCTTGAGCCAGAACCCATTGGAGTGTGGCCTGGAGACCGACCTACCTACCTACCTTCCTTCCTTCCTTCCTTCCTTCCTTCCTTCCTTCCTTCCTTCCTTCCTTCTTTCTTTCTTTTTAAAGAATTTATTGAGAATTTCATACATGCATATGAGCATATAAGGTGTTTTGATCAAATCCATGCCCACTCCCTCCCCTCCAACTCCTCCCATATCTCCCCATCACTTTTTTTCTTATACTCTTTCTTCTTCTTCTTCTTTTTTTTTTTTTAAGGGACTTTTTGCTACTCTAATTTACCGCCTCTGAAGAAGTAACCCCCAAGTCTTTTAAGGATTAGAAAAGAGCTCCCAAATACTTTTGACATTTTTGGCCTTTGGACCAGAGTATGTTGCTAAGAGGCCCAAGGACATTTTGAATTTTAGCCAAGAAACTGGCTATTTTTCTTTGGGATCTTTTTTATCCTAATTGCCTAGCCAATTCCTACCTCCTATTCTTTTTTTAAAAAAATATTTTATTTATTTTTATATGTGTATGTATTTATTGCCTGCATGTAGGTAACTGCACCTGTGCCCACAGAGGACAGAAGAGGCTTTTGGATCCCCTGAAACTGGAGTTACTGACAGGTGTTAGCTGCCATGTGGGTGCTGGGATTCAAACCCAGGTCTCCTGCAAGAACAGTGTTTTTAACCTCAGAGCCATCTCTCCAGCCCCCTGCCTCCTATTCTTATCACACCATCCTCTGAAGAAGTTGCCCAGCTTGCAGATAGGGAATTGGGATGCAGACCACTCTGGCTTCTTCCATGCTGGACAGGGACGTATGGTGAGGCAACTGGGGCACCCCTTCAGTGGGTCTATCTAAAAGGCTCCCAAATTGCCTAACTCTTATCTGTAGGGGAAAAAGAAAGTCCTTGACTGGTGAATAGGAGATGTGAAGGAAAAGTAAAGGCAAGAGTACTTAGCATTACAAGTTCTAGACAGAGAACTAGAAAAAAGTCAGAACAGGGAAATTTTCAAATGTTCGTATGAGAGTCCATTGGAATTTCTTTGCAAGGGCTTCCAAAAGCATCCCTCTATTGGGTTCCTCCTCATTTTTCTTTTGTCTGGCAACTCTGGACTCGAGAGTGATGGCTTCAGGATTTGCTTTCAGGTATTTTGATAGCTGTTGGAGTGGTTACAATCAGTATCAGTTCCCCCTCAAAGGCTTCTAGATAGGGCGAGAAAACAAATTTGGCCATCATTTTTGAACAGTAGTGGATTGTGGAGACATTCATTTCTAACAAGCCCACAAGAAATCTTATACACCAGACTGGAGAACCAGTGGTGTAAGTGTCATACCCAGAGTATGATACTTGATGCTTTTAAGTGTCACTGAGGAAAAACATGTTAATACATATATTTATTTCCATCTGTATTAAAAACACAATTGACATAGTAAACATGATTTTCCATTTTCACTTATGATGCCAGGTTATTTAAATTGTAAATGATGAAAAGTATTCCTGAACAGAGGTAGTATATATAGCAAAATAGTGAAGACCATATATAAATGTCGGAGGTTAGGAAACACTGCTCTGGGAACTAGTGAAGGGTGAGTGGTGCTAGAAAAGAACATTGACATAATGCTGTGGAGGAACGTGATGCTATGATAAAGTACGTTAATAATGTATTTTATTACACTAAAATTTAAATTTTAGGCATGTAGAAATATGAAAAAGTATGTTCTGTGAGCTTATGAATAATTACATATACAATATCATTGATTACAAATATAATAAGTGGCTATCTTTCCCCAGCTTTATTCCTTTTTTTCTTTGTAAGTGATGATTCCTATTCTGAATTAGTATATCACACTCATACTTTATGTATTCATAAGCAACATATGTTACTTTGTAAGTTATTAAACTTTCAAACCTTTTTTGTTGATGGTCACTTAGCCTGTTACTGAGAATCTAAAATTGTTATTTTCCTTTTTTAGTACAAATATTTTAAAGAATATGCTTTAAATTTTTT